ACTGCTTGCAGCAGTGCTTGCTTGTCATTTCAAAGAGAGCCTACAGTCCATCATATGTCGTTTGAAAATGTTCCTTCCGATTTTATTGCCTCAGAAGTACAAAATTACTCAAAATCTAAAGAGCAAACCTGACGAAGTTAAGGATTTTGATTTCAGATCAAAATTTTACTCTGTTACATTTTAAATTGCGCCTGAATTGAGTGCCTAGGACACATTCTCATGTTCATTTGAATGCAGAGTGTTCATGTACATGTATGTGATGTCACACACTGAATTAATGCATTATAGCACTGTAACGGCAATGCATGTGTGTAGTGCCAATGCTTGCAAAAACTTCTAATTGCAATTTTCCAAAAATGTGTCTTTTATCATTGGAAATGGCCTTCTAACACTGTTTCTTCAAAATGACAGCTTGCCAGAGAGAATATTTTCACCAAATGTATATTGCCATAAACCATCATTGAACCAAACAAGCTTTTCACTAATAATTTCTTCAGTTACTTTTTGGCTAATGGCAAATGATTGACTCCCCATGTACATGTACTGTACCTCCAATTCTATGAATTCACAATGAAATAATAGGTGCCACATGTATGTACATGTATGTACATGTGTGTATGTATCTGTCAGCCTAACGCAAATCAACAAAATGCACAAACTCAGTCTACCGGTACAGTTGTCTACTAGTACATGTAGCTAGCCATTTGGGGATATCTTTGGATTTACATGTAGTACAGTGTGCGTGTCTAGTCTGACAATTTGAGAGACATTTTGCACTGTAGACCTAAACTTAGAGTCCCGTATCTGGTCTCCACAATTTTTGAGTTTCATGAGTACTGAAAAGTTATATAAGGGGCTGGAAATGGTACTCGTGCTGTTCCCTAAGGGACTGAACCACCTTTCCTTGCAGAAATTTCCCCCAACTGAAAGGTATCCCTTTTAAACTTGTTGTGTTCATGAAACATGGCAGTCATTGAGGCCGGAAACTTGGGCTGTGGGATAATGCAGTACCATGAGTTGGAGAGGTAAAGAAGATACTCTACACGTATGTCACAAAAGTTGGAGAAAACCCTCTTTTAATCTTTGAATGGAGGTATCCAGCTTAGCAAGAGAAATACGGTACTCTGAACCTGGTTTTGTTCTGTGGGAAATTTTTGAGAATGTTGTTGGTTTAGGAGTGAGTAACATTAATCTTATGGAGATTTACACATTTTCTAGCACCTGTGTTCTCACTATGGCCAACAACAACCACATACATCTATTGAGACCTGTGGTGCCAAGGAACAGGCCAAATAAAAAAATCAGGCCCACTTCACCAACCCTGAGACGAATAAAATTCTCTGAAATATAAATGAAGTGAAGATGGAGGCCATGGATGTTTCATTGGCCTGATATCAGGTGACAATTTAACTTGTCAGTTAGACGTAACATGCAAAAGATACAGTATGAGCCCCAAGCTGGACCAAGAGAGGGTGTAATTTTCCTGGAAACAGAGGCTCCCTTGGTCAGAACTGCACTTCGCTGGTTCTCAAACAACTACGAAATGCGCAACTTACGAGTGCGTCACTACCAGCAAAGTGAACACTCCCGACCAACATGGCTCCCTTGTTTCATCCTCTGTTTTCACAGGTAGCCACCAGCCAATATGAAGTGTGCTTACTGTATGGATACCTCCGTGAAGAATGTACCCCGGCAATAATGACTTCACAGCATTTGAACTACTTTGTAAGAAGCATCTGATGGCACAGGTATGTACCTCGTGCACAAAAGAAGGTGTATGCATGTGTAATGCTAAGCGGTGCTGTGGTTTGTAACAAGGTACATGTATGCAGGCGCACTGGTTTTCATTTGAATGTACACAAATTCAGAAACGCCATTTGTTTGACTCTCGGCAGACATACATGTACCCTTCTGAACAGCCTCTGAGAGATATGCGGGCATGTATACATATACATGCAGGGCTGGCACTTGAAGGCCATTTGATATTGCATTGGCCAGCTAGGTGAAGATACTACAGATCTTTGCAAATACAGAGAGGAATTAGCTGGAGAGCAATCTGCGCTATATGTACGTGTAAGCCACTCCAGTAGTGCATTTGAGGTGTCCTGCGCAGACTGGCTCTTGTAAGGCAGTGCACAGCCACATCCCTCCGCAACTATTGCACAGCGTCCATTGCCTGGTTCCTGTGTCATCGTACCGAGTGCCCCATGACATTGATTGGATGTCGGATTCATGTACATGTAGCTCTCTCCCTTCAACCTTTACTCTATTGCATCATCCAAATCACTTCATTAATTCCCTTTCCATGACTGTTCCGTGCTTTACGGTTGAGGCTTCGCAGCAGTGGAGATCATGTAGCAAAACACATATGGCTGACGTGCCCAAACTCAGACCAAAGAGCAAGGGTTTAAAAAGGCCCCTTTGTGTACAAGTAAATAGAAAACATGTAATGTTGATCTCTTTAGCACGAACACGGTCAAGACAAAATGTCGGCAAGAACAAAGAAAACTCATCAGCCTGACTGAATTGTGTATGTAAGTTTGTGAGGAAACATTTGCTTAAAACAAACGCAGATGACACCAAGTTTTGGTAATGACACCAATGGCATTGACCTGGTGGTGGGGAAAAAGCATTATTTACAACCCATTTACAACTGTACACTGAACCTGTTTTGAAGACAAGTTGTGCTTACGTGCTTAAAGCCTTCATTTGTTGGCTTATGTCTGTGGATGTACATGTAGGATGTGGATACCACAGTATGGTGCCAAGATCCACAATGTGATAAAATAGGACGTGTACATACAACACGGTAATGCCATGCACACAGCGTGGAGCGCTATTGTTGTCAAGGCATGAACATATCTCTTAAGACCAAACTGATTCATCAGTGTAGCAAAGTGGTTAAAAAATGCCAAAACAGAACCAGATTTGTATCACCTGTCCCAACCCATTCCAATAAAATTAGCCAGTAGAATTGAATTTCCAAAAAGAATGGTTGAATACGCCCTCCTTCCTCTGCCTCTGACATGTCTGAAGTTGGCTCTCCACGTGGCTGAATTTCTACACACAGATTCAGTGCAGTTTTGGCACCTACCGGTACATGTACATGTAGTTCTTCTGATTCTGGTGGTTACAGTTTTCATATTTTTTTTATTGATACTGTACTTGTAGTTCAACTTCATTTGCAGTTCATGTGCAAGTTTTAGTCTCGATGAATTTACATGTAGCAATTTTGTTGCCTACATTTTTGTATTTTCCCCTGAACACAATCACGGTGAATGTGGTGCTTAATTATACTGTGGGAGCCACAATGCACATGCAGTCGCTAGTATTGTGAAGGGGAAAGTCAGCATTCAGCAAAAATATGTATTTTGGTAGCAAAAAGAGTTGACTGCACGTGTGCATTTGTGGCAGCATCTAGCAAGTACCGGTGCAGTCATTTGCAAAAGTTTAGGACCACCCAAACAAAATGCATTAACCTGAAGAAAAACCAGACTTAAACCAATCAATCATGGCAACTTATGTTTTTTTTTAATCAATGTGTAACCTTAGTATCTTGGTTTAGCATTTGCTGGTATTTGACGCTGTTTCCATGATTTGAAATGTTAACCACTTCCTGCCAGGTGGATTTTTCTTGAGTGAGATGAGATGACGGGACCTTTTCAAGCTTTTCCGTTTTCACCCACATGAACGACTGTCTGGTGGCTACTCTAATCTGACAGGCAGCCTTCATTGACGCCCAGAATTGTGAGGTGTTGCTTACATGTAATTTCCTTCGTTCCGGTGAATGCCAGTAGCATCTCTTCATATGCAGCTGGATTAGCAAGCAGCAGTGCTACATGTATGTTGCTCATCAATGGGGCCCAGGAGCAATTTTGTCCGCAGTGCTAACCTGCTGGTGCTAATCCGCAGGGGGCACTATGCCCAAAACAGTGGTATACTATTTCAAAATGATGGCAATTCCCAGCAGCTGGTCCTTTGTTCCGAGTACAGTCTTTTGTAACACAGACCAGCTCTTTTGTCCAAAACTGGGCACCCTGGCTCTACGTATAAACACACGGTGCCCGAAACCAGGCACCCTGGTGGGAAGTGATTAACATTCTAAAATTTAGTGTGTCCTCCTTTACTTGTGATTACTTAGACTGTCTTTTTTTTATCCATGCTGTCTTACATAAAAAATGCCATATAAGACTTGCCTTTGCAACGAAATTCTTGCAAATGTGCTCATAGCACAACTCTGATGTTATCACCACCGTAAAAAACATCGTATATAATCATACAGTGAAACAATGCAATTGCAGGCCCAGGGACAGAAATACCAACAAAATTCCAGGTGGTCTTAAACCTTTCCAAGCGACTGTAGTAACCCAAAATATCCTGGATCCATCTAAATTGACCAGGAAGTTTCTTTACAAGCTTGAGGAAGGCAGAGCCTAGCCACTTTGGCTCAATGCCAAATGTTAAAAGTTCAAGTGCTAAGAATGTGCCGTTGGTTTCCTGTACATTGTACAATAGAAGATGTGGTTAAAGGAGTAAAGGTTTAGTCATTGTTTATGCATGCTGTGAATTGTTTTGCACATTGTCATGAAAAGAAAATGAAGACATCAAAGCCAACAGCATTTGAACAGAATGTACATGTACATGTAGCGTAAGCAGAAAATAGACATTTGCTTCACCGTAAGCAATTGGCTTTGTGGTATACACATGTACTGGTACAATGCATTAAGACTCATTTCCAGCAGTACTGTTCTTTGTTTCCCTTAGGTTCACTGTGCACGTACAGATATGTATTCTTGGCAAGCTTATCAGCTGTCTTTTTGTGACCCATTTTCGGTTGCTCCACAGTAGGACATTTGGCAGCATTACGGGTACATGTAGTGTGCAAGATGGATTCTTTCATGGCTGCAGCATCTGACCTGGACAGCATTCTGGACCAGTTTGAGCGAGACGAAGGTCAGTGTACTTGTCTGAGCATTCTCCTTGCAGCCCTTAGCATTGTCCTGATTGTAGTCGTACATGCTTATAAATAATGTGGTACACGAGGATTTAAGAGGCCAAAAAAATAAACTTAAAAATAAAGTCCAGAACCATAGGAGCAATTTCCAATAATGCACCGCCAAGAGTTTGCAACGTGGTGGCCACTGCATGCAATGCGTGTTTGAATGGGTTGATCTGTCCGGACGTGTTGACCGGCAGTGCGTTGGAAAGGGTCGACACACTTCACACAGTGTGATTGGCCAATGCATTGCAAACTCTTGGTGGCATACTATTGGGAGTCGCCTGTATTGCCACATTGAATGCCAAAGGGCATAGGTTAATAAGTTGAACATGGATCCCTTTATTTCAGTTTCATAACCCAAACTGTAAAATTTCTGCTGAGGCTGATTGTTTTGCAAACCAAGCCCCGCAGCTGACCCTCATGGTGTTCAATTTTTGAGTGACTACATGTACTTAAGAAAGGAGTGTAGATGTGGATACATGTATTTGACCAGTCAAAACTACAATACAGATCTTCACCAAATTCAAATTTTCCCTAGAATGCCGCAGTAAAGCACAATTTAATCATGCTACCGGTAGTTACGGGTGGTGTACACCATTGGTTTTTTGTCGTAATTTTACAAGATTGGCTGATTATGGCATGAAATGTTCACTGCAACTTACATTCCACTCACTTGTTTCATGATTGAGTCAAGTGCTTTGTGAAAAATGGAGAAAAACAGCACAGCATTTTCAACGCTTAAACTGAAGGTCTTGTAGTTTACCTTGCGTAAAATCTATGGATTATAAAGTGTTCGTAGTACAAGTGAACATCGTCCGCTTGGTCAGGGTGGGAAACAAGCATGACAGGGTCTCATTCCCTTAAAAAGGAGCAGTTTTTAACGGCTAAGAGTAATAAGTGAATTTACCTTGGAGTAATGCGCCTCCTCAACAATGTAGCATTGCCGATTCATGGAAAAATTTTATCCAGGAACACAGCAGTCGAGTCCTGTCCGTGACATCGAAGCGAGTAGGCCTATATGATAATACACATGCGCGCATGATCGTGTTTATAACAGCACTTCCTGTCAGTTCACATGTCAAGGAAAGTCTGAAACACCATTCATAGTTGAGTCATTAATAATTACAAGTAAAAAAGAATTATGTCTCAAACAAAGGAGGATTAACCACTTACTGCCGTGTGGTTTGAAAAATGCAGTGTACATAATCTGAACTTTTCCAAGATTTTCAGTTTTCAAAATTCTTCAAAAATTCATCATTTCAATTAATGGACGTTTACACCCACACGAATTACTGTCTGGTGGCCACTCTAGTCTGACAGACAAAATCTATTGACACCCGAGTATTTCAGCCAAGCCTGCAGTCTTGTAAAAAGAGCCCAGATTGTGCAGTGTTATATGACTTCCTTTTGTTAACGAACGTGGCACAGTGCGCTGCTGTCCTCTTTTCTATAGGGACCAGATTAGCGCTCAGCGGTGCTGTGTGGCTCGTCACTACGGTAGTGGAGCACTTTTGTCCCCAGTGGTAATCTGCTTGCTCTAAATGTCCGAAACAGTGGTACACTGTTTCAAAACAAGGCTGGATTATCTCCACTACTGAGAGTGAAAAAATGTCGGTAATGCCCAGCAACCTGGTCTTTTGTTCCAAGTACGGTCTTTTGCTACAAGGCCCAGTTCCCTTTGTCCAATTTCAGGTTCCCCAGCTCCGTGTATAAAGCCTACGTGCTCGAAAATGGGTCCCCTTGCAGCAAGTGGTTAACGTGTGGAAATCATACTTTTTGTTGACGAAAATCATTGTGCTCGGAAACAGCCTCCATATTCGATCATTCTATTATTATCTAGGGGTGATTTTGAATTTGCAAAGTTTCCCATTAAAAAACCCTTTCCTTCAATAAAATTCAACTTCACACGGATCCAATTTATTTTCTACTTTACGCCTAACACTCAGGTTTCTAGAATTTCATTTCACAGTGTTTTTGGTGAAAGAATATCAGTGTATATTTTTAGCTGCTTTCAGGTTTATCCATCCATTAATAAAGATTCCCACAACATCTGCTATTGTGAAACACTACTTATAAGAAATTTGGTGCCTGTTAAAGGATGTGATGTGCGAAGTGAATTTAACTCTATTAAGCTGGTCGGCTGACCATCGTAATAAAAGAGAACAAAATATTTGTTTTCTCGAAAACTACAGAATTCTGGGTGGAAATATTTTACTGATTGATTGAGACTGTTGTTTACTTTTTTCAGTTAAGATATTTCAGAAATATATGGTAGTCCGATTTTCGGGATTTTACTAAGGGTGTACGGTACACCACGTTTAATAAATAGGTGCGCGTCTGTGGCTGGATGCTGGTGTTTCAGACTTTTGCCTGCTAATAGCAGCCTGTTGGTGCTGGGACCCTCAGCAGGCCTACTGTATTGTCACACTTCATGCATCAGTAAGCTAGTAATTGAGAACTGAAGACAGGTGTTTAGAAGATTATTCCAATGAGATGCTAATGACAGGCACACGATGCATACATGTACTTCAGTTGTACATATTCTGTACCTAGCCGTATGTGGTGTTATGATGTTTGTGTTTAAAACCAACTATTGAGAATTTTTTAGAAATATTGTCAAGCAAATGAACAGTATAATGCTAATACACTTACTTGTAGGTTGACTCAATTATCTTTGAACCCAAAGGCGGTTTCTCTCCCTTTGAAGGGTAAATAAAATCACTGTGCAGTGTACTTACTACAGTTTTCAGCAAATTCAGAACAGCTTGGAAACAAATCAAAAACCCATGAAACATTATGTGGAGGTAAGGGTGACAAAACAAAAAAAATCAGTCCTGAAGGCAAAAGCTTATTTGCATCCTCTAGTCTGATCACTTGGGCTATACGAAGGCAGGTGAAAAGTGAAAAGACTGTGCTCACATAGTTCCCCCCGAAGCTTAAGAGGCCCAGCAAGTGCCCTGGCCAACACTGCTTCAGGGGGATAGTTTGTTATAAAATGTAGGATTGGGGACTTTAATGGGGCCCCACAGTAATGTCAATCAAGAAGTGGGCGGCCCTCACACAACTACTGAACGAGTTTGGGTGGTAATTAATTTTGGATTTTTGCCCTGTCTGACGTGTATTATAACACTGTATACTCAGTGTTTGCCCCTGAAGGCTTATGAAAAGAACCACATGCATACCCGGGTGGGACTCAAACCTACGACTTCTGCTTACATGTACTTGCCAGTGTCAGCTGGCTGGTACAAGTCAGAAGTACAGTAGCAGCGGGTAATGCGAAGAACTATTTCCAAGGATGGATTTGTGCCAGGGAGATGTTGATTAATTTTGGATTTTTTGCCCTGCCCAAGTGTATAATAACACTGTATACTCGGTGTTTGTCCCCGAAGACTTGTGAAAAAACCACAAGTATACCCGGGTGGGACTCGAACCCATGACTTCTACTTACTAGTGCAGACGTCTTAATCGTTCGAGTATACTGAGTATACAGTGTTATAATACATGTCGGGCAGGGCAAAAATCCAAAACTAATTAACATATCCCAGCGCCAATCCGTCCTTGGAAATAGTTGTTCGCAGTACCCGCTGCTACATCTGACTCGAACCAGCCAGCTGACACCAGCAAGCTCGGTGGTCGAATGGTCTAGACGTCTGCACTAGTAAGCAGGAAGTCGTGGGTTCGAGTCCCACCCGATTACGCTTTGGGTTTTTTCCACAAGCCCTCGGAGGCAAACACTGAGTATACAGTGTTATAATACACGTTGGGCAGGACAACAATCCAAAATTAATTAGCATCTCTCTGGCTCGAATCCATCCTTGGAAATAGAGATTGGGTGTTTTAAAGTCAAGTTGCTTTGATCTTTGTTTTATTTGGGCAGGACATTTTAATTTGCAGCTTACTGATGGAATATTTGAACTTCTTTCCTGTTTAAAGACTCAACCAGTGTGTTACAACCCGAGCCTGTTGCTGTCAACAAGTCGACGATATATCCCTACCAGACTCCTGATTCAACTCAGGTTGTCAACGGTGGCAGCTCCTACTCCACAAGCCAGGAGACCAGTGGGTATGGCTCTGTTGATAACAGAACGCAAAGCAGCAGTCAGACTACACCACAGCATGAGCCAAAGTCACGCAGCTTCCTGCTTGACCTCTCGGAGGCTGACTTTGCACCTGCGGCCCCTCAGACCTTATCTCTGAATTCCCTGGGGATCAAGTCGGAGCCGTACCAGCCAATGTCTGGCGACACGGTGCAAAGTTCTGCCAGCAGGCTGTCTGGTTTGGATGCAGTGAATTCGGGGCCGCCCACCCACACAAGTCGGACCGACTCCTCTGGGGAACTTTTCTCTCACATGAATAAGACAGCCACTGCTGCCCCTCTGTCAGAAAGCTCCACGCTGGTTGCAGGTGTTACTTCCTCAAGTACAACTCAAGTCACAGGATCGCTTGGGCTGTCAACCGCAGAGCCACATGTTGTGGGAAATTCTAATCAGGTTCGTTCCAGCTCGCCGTCTCATGGTTTCCCCAGTGCAACTTTAAATGTTGGAAATCCTGATTTAACTGGAGTTGGACCCACAGTGGTAAGCCAACCATTACACACTGGCACAGGACAGGTAACTCCTCTTGTGCCAGTCAACCCACTGAGCGTCAACCAGCTACCTGGGAAGGAAGAAGACAGCCAAAAAGAGCCAGGCAAAAGACCGGCACCTGACCTTCAGCAGGATTCCCGGCCTAGTCTGACAGAATCCAAGGATGTCCTAGAGGTCAAACCCCTCAGCAAAAATTTGACCCCTGCCCCACTACGTCCTGAACTGATGCACGAGTATGTCAAGCAAGGTGCAAGACCGAAGATCATCTCCAGCATCAAAACCCCAGAGAGTCCAGCAAAGGCTGCCAATGAAACAATGTCCCCTTCAAAACCCAGCAAAGGAGTCGTCCAGCCCAAGCCCCCTGTCGGATTCAGTAGCGTCAAGAATGTCAAGGTGACAGAGGCTGATCTAGAAGCACTGGAACAAGAAGTTGGCATCATGCCATTGAAGGAGAAAGGTAAACCTGTCGCCCAGCCAGTACACCAACCTCAACCCAATCCAACTCATCTGAGCATTGAGGACTTAAACACTCCGGGAGACCGTGTGAGTCCTGTGTCTAAACTACTCAATGAACAATACACGGAGTCGCTGCAACAGGAGCCCACCTTGCAACGGGGCAATGAACTGGCTGGCTTGGACCCCTTCTTCAGTAAGAATGTCTCAGCATCCAGACAGGACACCCTGGGTCCCACTGTCCACAGCACAAGTCTGCTGGACTCATCTCCTGTGCCCCAGTCGGGGGTCCCTCTCTTGAGCCCTTCCCTGACAGCAGCACCGGTGGAAGCCCCCTCCATGCAAACTACCAGTTCAGCCAAAGACCCAGCTCTCCCCAATGACGTGCTCAGCAAGAATGCTAAGAACCTACTGCGAAATAATCAGGCATTTCCCAGTGGGCAGCCATACGTAAGTAGACAGACAAAGGACCCATCATCTGTAAACAACAGCAACTCGCAAATCCGGGTGCCCAATGTTGCAGTTAGCGGAGGGCAGGTGCCTAGTTCCTCGCCAGCCCCTCCCCAAGGAATACCTCCAGCAGTGTCTGCACCATCAGGAACACAAGGGGGTCAACCGCAACATCACTCTGACGTCAGTTCTTTGGACCCAATTTCCAAGAACAGTAACACTATGACCAGCCAACCAAGAGGCTTGGCTCATCCTGCAGGGTTTCCTGCTTCGCCAAGCACCAGGAGTTCCACGGATCAACGGCAGTCCCATGGAAGTGTGCCAGCCCCTCCCTTTATGCCAGCTGATCCACCGAGCTACCAAGATGTCCGGAATTCAATGGGCGGGGAGGGAGACCGAAGACCGGAGGGCCTACGTCAGGGGCTGACCCTGAACTTTGACCAACCAGGCCCACGAAAGTTGGCCCAGGCCCTGCCCCCAAGCCCCATCATCGAGGATGTCCAGGGAAGAGAGGATGCATTCCGAGTGCCCGAACAGGGCTCTGCTTCCGAGAGCCTGCATCTAAACCGGGCGGATGCCACCCAGCAGTCATTCCAAACTCCTCCCCAGACGCAGCAAACCCTGGTCGACGCCATTCCGCCAACCCTTGTCGCAGCTCCCAACGCTGTCGCCCAAAACAACCTGTTCGCCGATAACGACTCAGTCACCACATCCAACGAGACAGACTCTGAACAGGGGGATTTCAACCGGCGAGTGATCGACTACTCAGAGGGAGCCATGCAGCTGGGGGCAGTGGCCCCAGTCTGGGTGCCAGACTCAGAAGCTCTCAACTGTATGAACTGCCAACAGAAGTTCACCTTTCGGAAGAGGAGACATCACTGTAGAGCTTGCGGCAAAGTAAGTCGGAAAAAAATATCATTTCACTCTTCTACCAGTACAGGTATATAAATGTAGAAGTCAAACCTCTGTCAAGTTGAAGTGGCAATGGAATGCTAATTCACCTACTTACAAAAAGAGTGCAAAATTCTTCATGAGTGATCCTCTCATTAAGTTGGACCCAATGTTGTACAGTACATGTGCAGGACTGTGGAGTTTGGGCATACTCATACAGTAGTTCGTTGTAAAGTTCTGCGAAGACATCAACTGTTCTCAATGTTGGGCACCTTTTGTGCTGAAGCCGCCCTGGTAGAGTTTCAGCATATCTCTCCTAAAAGCAAGCCAGAGTCATCTGAATGGCTGATTCTGCTTATTCTTTACTGAATTTAGAACACCTACATGTAGCCAAGACAAAGCCCACGTGCCCCATTGTCCACTATTACCTCAGCTTCGATAATGCTTGAAGGTAATGGTTGGAGGTTCCTTTGTATCAAGCGTGCCTTGTTAAAAGTGGAACTTACATTTCAAAAACAGAAATTGCCTACTTAAGCCCTGTCTGTTGGTTGTGGATCACGAGTGTCACCATCTGCACTGCTCAGTGGCATTTGTTTCTCATAATAGTGTACCATACAATTTTTAGTTCATTGCTGTTGAAAATACGGCAGTTTAAAGTGTGAAGTTTGGCGGACAGAAACAATGAACAGAGGGTGGATATGTTTCGGTTGCAGGTCTTCTGTGCCAAGTGCTGCTCTATGCGGCTGAAGTTGAAGTACATGGAGAGCAAGGAGGCTAGGGTGTGCATCAGCTGTCTTAACGTCATCCTCAGAGGTGAGACATCTCGCAGTCCATCACAGGACACAAATTCACAACAGAAAACCCTAACTCCTTAAGATTCTTTCACTGGATCCTCCAAGATTCTCCAATGTTCTGAAACTCAGGACACATCATTTTGTACCTAGCTCATGGCCAGAGGAGTGTCTGGGCATCAGTAAGCCATCCTCTCGGCCATTTTGGACACTTTATTTTGTTAAGCATTGTCTTTCAAAGAAAAACTGTGAGTCTGCTTCCTTAAATGGCAGCAAGGCAGACTCTGTGAAAATTTGGGGAAAAATGTAATACATATGTGGGAATAAAGACTATGCAGATGGACAGATACCATCTTTGTACTCAACAGCCTTTAGTCAAGGCGTGCATGGCACCCTGGATACTCGTACTCTGTTAACCAGAAAAAAGACCAGTGTGAGTGGCGAGGTCATGAGCGCTTTCACTGTCTTGTGGAGAAGGCTTATGTTTTTGTTTACATTTGCTCACCGATTTGGTAGAGAATTCTCATGCATAATGCGTGACTTGATGTGGATATTGACAAATAAAACTGCAGACTTACTTACTCACAATACACGCTCAATAAGAAGGTGCTGGGGAACGCTGATATCTTTGAGTTTTCATTGGAAACTGGGTCAACACTGCCCTGCGTGCACCGAATGATGATTGGGAATCTTGGGACAGGTTTGCGTGCAGGTGCTATATGTAGGCACTGAAACAAAAGGCGCAAAGTGGCGGCATTTGAACATGCTACAGCACTTTTAACTTGAATAAATGTAAATATTGATAAGCATCATGAGATGATAAAGGCACTTGGCTTCGCCACTTGTATTAGTCTTTTGTTGTGTGGAATGTACATGTAAGCATCCAAGGTGCCACGCGTGCCTTGAGTAAGGCCGTAGACTCTAGTGGATGGCTCCATATTATTGATAAAGTCATGTTGCCTTGTATTTGTTGTTCGAATGAAAAATATTTTTCAAAGTGTGGGCTGTTCATATAATTACAGCAAAAATAGTCGGGCTCTTTCCTATACCCAAGCGTTCAACAAATAAAGTGCATTTGGGGAGTATAATCCAATATCTCCAGAATAATGCCCATATGCAAATCCACACATATCCACCACCATAACTGTAAGAGTGGAAATGATAAAGCTAGGTAGGAGTGCAAAAGAAATAAAAGCCAGTAACTTGCTAAAATACGACAGTAAATGCACAGTAAGAAATTGCTGACATCAGCACCTTTACGAATTGCTGTACATTGACTGATGTGGTTTCCTATTGAATTCAGCTCAAGCTCTCCAGCGCACCCAGGCTGAGAACCAACCTGAGCCCACCCCACCCCCCGACCAGGACAACCTGAGTAACATTAGCAACACAAGTGAAGGCATGCCTGCCGGGAATGCTGGGAACAGATCCTCGCTACGCCGACCGAGCAATGACGGTAAAGGGGGCGGGGGACAGTCCTTAGTCCGTGCCTTTGCGTGACAGAGTTTAAGACCAAATCAGGGACAAAGGCTGCTTTTAGGGAGCGTCTCGTAATTCAGAATGGTGGGAACATTTCAA